CGCGCGCGCGCGCGCGCGCGCACACACGACACACACACACACACACACCACACACACACACGATGATAGATTTTGCCGAGAAGAAAAATTAGGTCTAATCAATTCCAATTCTTTTCTTATAGCGAGTTTATCTCTTATACCTAATTTTATCGTTAACTGATTAAATATACGGTTTTAGATATACGATATCTAATTGTATATATTAATTCTTATATTAAAAACAGGCCATTTATATAAGTAATACTTGGAATTGATATTTCGATCTGGTATTGATTAATTGGTATTTTATTTGAATTCGAATTTAAACACGTGTTACTCTTTTGAGAAAGAGAGAGATTGAAAACTGCTCTCCCCCGATTCTCCGACCAAAAGTCAACTGGCCGGATCTGAGATCTGAGGAAACGCGTCGCAGCGCGTAGCGGCGCGGATGCGACGATCAAGAAGTTCATATCCTGCACACGAATACGAGCGCAATGACAGATTTACAGATTCCAGCCATCGCCATCGCCTTCTTCCACGGGGTGGATTCTTAAAGCGGAAGGCGCGTCTCGTACGAACGACCCGAGACCCGGAGTGCACGTCAAATCGCACCTCGACTGTTTACGCTTTACGTCTGCAAAGTAAAGCGTTTCGTTTCCTTTCCCTCCTTATCGTATCACTCTCTTCTACTTTCGCCGTACCATATCTTTACTCGCCATCATATTTTGACTCTTCGTACGTTCTCCTCTTTGCGTTTTACGTAGTTATTTAAGTCACAAGTGCGCGTGTCGCGCGCGCTCGCGACTTCATGTGTAACACATGATGTGTATGTGTGTGTATAATTTTACTTGTGTATAATTTCGACTTTTTATTATGATAAAGCTTTATTCTGATTTAATTTTGTGATATTACTAACTTTTCCGCTATAATACACAAATACATGATATAGGATAAGAGATCGTCCCTCTTTTATTTATGATATCTAGTAAATAAGGTAAACTTTTCATAGGCGCAGTCACGGTTTGCGTCTGTCTTCGCACCCTTCGCTTGCTTGGACAGTTTTCATTCTCTCGCCGATAGACATATCCGTCTATCTGTTCCTTTTTTGTGCATCTGGTTCCAAGGTGAAAAGAATCTTGATTTATTCGAAAAATATAAATATCTTTTAATAGCAATAAAATGTTACATTATTTCCTTGATATTATTTTAAATCTCATCTATTTCGTACTATCTATATCGTACTCTTCGAGATGTGTCATACTTATCTTTCTTTCTTTGTCGAATTGTAATTTTGATTTTCCTGAGATTGAAAAACGTGATCATCGTGCATGATTTATGTCGATATCATAACGTAACGATTATACGAAACAACGAGTCGAAACAAGTTTCACGAATTGGCGAAATCGAAAGAAGAAACAAATTGTCGGACATTTTTCATATTGGCAGAGCACGCGCTTTACGCGCTTTGCCATTCATCGTACTATATTTGATCGTACGATTATGAAAAACAAAATCGTGCGTCTTCTCGCGTTGTTATTGATTGATAACATGCAGCCCGAAATGAGAGAGTGAATAATTCTTATTTTCAAAGATTTCATCTCGCTCTGACTTGTTTATTGAAATCGCGAATTACGTGTATTCAGACTTAGAAACAACAGTTTTGCCCTCAAAAGGCAAGACACCTTGTAAAGTAGAAGCTCATTCAATTTTATCTTATTAGATATTTTGATTTGAAATCTTTATAGTAACGCGAAATATATATATATATATATGCTATAAAAGTATTTTGCAAAAATAATTTCGGTAACAAATTATTTGGTTGCAACGACGAAATGTCGCGTTGCTAGGGGGGATAGAGATACCCAATTTCGCTCTAGAAGAATTCTTTCCAAGCGACAAGTTTTATGTCGCAATGTCGAATTATTTTCTAATGACAAGTAGTAAAAACTTAATTGTTTTCACGTTGATACATATATATATGCGATAGCAGCCGCAATCGTATTGCGGTAACAAAGCAGCTACGGCTGCCTTTACATACGTAGTAGTTTTCGATGAAATTTAATACGTAAATAAGAATAATTTCTTTCGAATATATTTCTTCTTTGCGTAGCGCGCGCACACGGCTCCGCGCGGAACGCGCGGAGAAAAGAGGAAACGAAAAGTAAGTAGGTGATGCGCAATTTAGCGATATTCTCAAGTTTTCAGTCGCGACGTAGTCGGCACGCATATCCTATCTCGCCGCTGGAATCCTCATATGTCTGTCAACGTGGCTTCCCAACACCTCGGGGTCTTGGATCACTTTGGTCGAGCCTCGAGGTAGTTCGAGGCTCGAGCGTGCCGGCAATACGAGAAGCGCATAGGCGCGCGTGTCCTACCCCACATCCCACATCCCTCTGTCCCAGCTGCACCAAAATATCATTGGCAACGCGGGCAAGGCGGGCAACGGGCGACGAGCGACGGGTGGTCCGTGGCGACTAGTGGTCAGAGATCCGGGTCTACTCAGGACCGTATATTTGTCGGAAGCTGGCAAAGCTCTACGATTCATTTAATCCCTTTCGACAAATCAATCGATTCTAATTTCTTATCTTATCTCGAGCGATCTATTACTCGAAACGGAATTCGGAATGTGATTGCAATCGTTAAATCTATCTACACCACATGCATCCTGCTTATACGAACGAACCGTGATTCAATACACGCACACGCACGCACGCACGCACGCACACATATGTATATACATTTCTTTCATATATACATGATCGATTGAATTATGCGTAGATAATAGATAGAATCTCCGTCTTCAACGTGCCCTTGTTGCGAATTGATGAATGAATTATAGAAAATAAGCTTTTTCTTACTTTTTATGTCATATATCATTTTATGTGCATCGACCCAAAATGTTTTTTGCATCGTTTATTTCTACTTTTCTCTAAGCATAAAGCACGTTTGGAATTTTTTACTATTTCCAAGTATCGATTTTTTATTCACCTAACATCGCGTATAAATCGACCTATCGATACGAGATGGCATCACGTATCGCCATGTAACGCCACGTTACGCCAGGTATCATATTTATTGTATGTCGATAATATCGCATACCGATACATCTACATCCGTACAATGTTGTTACATTACGGCTGATTGCATTATATTAGTGTCGGTCCACAATAAGTATTTAATCTTTAAGTCTTTAAGAAATTGACCAATCATAGTCGATTATTCTTTTCATATTCGATTATAATTGGTTCAATTTCTTACTTCTTAAAGCTTAAATCACCTATTGTGGACCGACACTTACGCGTCGCATCTCTTTCTCATGATTGTAACTCATTTGACACTTTTCAAACGGGATGTGCTTCTGATTGAGGATTGAAAAGGAGAAAGAGAAAATTGAGCAATGAATATTGCTCGAATGTGCAATTAATAGAAAGCTCATCTCACGTGCTGGATATGTGGCATATGACAGCATAGCTGGTATACGATGGCAGAGTGTAAATAATTTTCAAATATATACAGAAAGTATCCCCATGTGAAAAGAAATGTTATGTGATACGATATGCGCAAGATCGCGTTATGAAAAGAGATTGTAGTAAAATAATATTTTTTTATGTTTGTAAATGTCGTACATACACACATATGCAAACTTACAGTGATATCGAGCGAGAATTTTGTTACATAACCTCAATTTCAAAAATTGTATGCAGTGTATATATGTTAAAATGAATAGTAGTGAGTATTAATATAGACATAACTCATCCTCTTTCTTTCACACATGAGATGGACAATTCTCAAGCAACAAATTTTTTCATTTCTCCGTTTAGATGCTCATCTGAATTTTATTTTTTTTCAGATTCCATTGCAGACAGCCCTGGCTCGAAAGCTCTTGAAGCTGTCAAAAACATCAAGGATGTGGCTATATTTAAGAAACCTATTGGATCCGCTAAGAGGAGCAAAAATGCCCAACCAAAGATCTTAGATGAGGATACATATATTGAAAAAATGAGCGAAATTATTCAAAGGGATTTTTTTCCACATTTGGAAAAGCTACAAGCACAGAATCAATATCTGGATGCTTTAGAGCAGAATGATACTAATAGAATGAGAGAGCTGTACGCAAAATATAGCTCCGGTCGACCTGTCACTGAAAGACCGATTAGTCCAGCTACTTTTGAAACTCCATTGCGCAAAACTGAATCAGACGATGACGTAGGGTCTATTTCTGAGACGTCATCACAAAAAACATCCATCGAGTCTGTAACAAGAAATGATAAGACTGAAAGTAAAACCGGTCTAGATGATTATTTGAGCACTCATACGAGCGAAGATAACGCCAGTTTTGAAGAAATGATGGTTGAGGCTGAAAGTAAACGCAAACTCAAGTATGCCTGGCTTTATGAGGCCGAGGAGAAATCGAAAGGATGGCTCGCTATCGATGGATCCACAACTGACATCCCAGCTGTTCAAGGATCAAATATCAGACCAAAACAAGTGGATAGTTGGGCTTACAAGAATAAAAATTATATTATGTATATTCCCGATGGAGTGGAACTTACGGCAGAGGAAAAAATAGAATTAGCTAAGAGGAAACAAACTGTAATGCATGAAAATACAAGATTGAGGACAAACCCATTCAACGAACAACAAAACAAAGAGACTATTAATGAATTGGCCAAATCGCAGTCCAGAGCTAATGACGGCAAGATTGGTGTGGATGGCAAAGAAGTTGTCAGAACTGCGACGCCACGAGTAAATGGTTTTAGTTTTGTGACAACGCCAAGCCCGAGGCCGGGGGAATGCGAAAGTCCATTGATGACGTGGGGTCAGATCGAAGGGACACCCTTTCGATTGGATGGTGGTGACACTCCATTGCTGAGGACAAGTCAGGGCCCCTCCTTCAGAATAGCGGAACCACCAAAAAGAGAGCGGCTAGCATTACAGTTGGCTGAGAAGGCTGGCGAGAGACATAGAGACCGAAAAAATAAGGCCTTAGAAGCAGCCAGAAAGTCGTTAGCCACGTAAGTGATAAATCAATATTTCATAATGAATATGTATTGGCGAACGGAATAAACATTATGATATAATAAACGCGCGCGCATAATACACACGTTATAAAAAACTGTTCTTTCCAGTCCATCGCCAAGGTCGACTATAGATCGTCTGAGCACTATGTCCCCCGCAGCAAGAAGGTTAGCGACTCAGAAACTCCGGATATCGGGTACACCCTCTCCTCGACGAACACCATCATCCAGAACTCCATCTGTAGGCATCAGAACATCTGGCACGCCACGCACGATCACATCGGCTGAAGAAGTCATTTCGCAGAAATTGGCGATTAATGCCACGCGGATACAAGGACCTGTGCTCACTGATAATTTACTCAATCTACCTCCACAGCGGCAACGAGCGTCGGATTTTTTCAACAAATGAGAATATTTGTATCAGAAAATCATATATGCGAAATGCTTAAAATGCTTCTCGTGTGTAGAAATCAAACGATATATGTATATAATTACAATAATGTATAGTATAACAAATATATCTATATAAAAGAGACGTACATTATATATGATATGTGTGAATGATTAATTATATTTATGTTTTTTTATATAATATGTTTAAGATTTTTAATTCTTTTCTTGTGCTTTATCGAATCTCTTTATTGATCTTTTCCCGATTTACGGGCGATTGCATTTTGCCATTGCATCTTTTTCCTTGAAATAGATTTCTCGAAGAAAAAGAATTTCGGTACGCCGTAACGAGATCTAAGAGTATTCATACGCGCGATACACGTACACAAAGCTATCAATTTTCTAAATATCTTTTTAACAAGAAAACGTATGTTTTATTGTTTTGCATATTCAATTCAATTTATTATTTATCCGCATATGTGCGCGCGCGCGTTGTGTAATATACATATATACATATTTTGGCGCATTTTGCGACATTTTTTGCTTAAAATTTAATACGATGTTAATCGTCACGAAAAAGAATGTGACCGAATAATTAATGACCTTGACCGATTCTTTCATCATTCATGGAAGCTTGTATGTATTCTTTCATCCTGGCGGATCTCCGTTTCGTTTATCGTTATAAATACGGAAATCAGATAAAGTCAACCAGACGAACCATTTCCTTCACAACAAAACGATTGATTATGATATCTCTCATCACGAAACTATAAAACTCGGCTTTTTACAAAGTTGATTGGGATGTGCGTATTGAGGAAGTGAGAGTAAAATCATAATAAATTCATCGCGTAAACGTTGCAACAGGAAGTATTCCCAAGCATACCCAAGCATCGTCCAAACAGTCATTGTTGATCGATTGCGAAATTGTTCATTGTTCGCTAAAGAGCTTGGCGGCTTTTATATAAATCAGAAAGAACATCAGAAAGAAGAAGAGGAGAAGAAGGAGAGAGAGAGAGAGAGAGAGAGAGAGAGAGAGAGAGAGAGAGAGAGAGAGAGAGAGAGAGAGAGAGAGAGAGAGAGAGAGAGAGAGAGAGAGAGAGTATTATTCTTTGAGACAGATATGAGGTCCTCTTTGATCCTAGGAATTATCTCGCTCCTGACGATAGCGACTTCGTGTATCGTCCAGGCACGCAAGCTAGAACAGGCATGCGGGAATTTAGGCCCAGGTACGTGGACTTTATATTCCGCGCCTATCAGACTTATCATCTTTATTTTTATCATCTCGTTTTTAATTACAACGCGTTACAACTTTCTTTTATTCTGAATGCTTTAAAATTCTCGAGGCTAAAGGTTTGATATTTTTATAAAATTATTCTGCTAAATTTATTTTAATGCTAAATTTATTCCGCTAAATTTATTATCGTCTGTTTTTTGCTTTATGTCATTTTGTATTTGTTCTCAGGCATTAACGCGTGCAAATGCGGGGAGATAGTGGTGAAAGCAGCAAAAGTACAAAAACCATTGTTTTATGCGTCGCCAGAAGCGATCAACGAAGCTGCAGTAGCGCGTGAAGCGGTCGGAAGACTGTCCAATGTGGGAACGGATCGGTGGCATGCCGGAAGCGTGACATCTTTCCCCACATATAAACCTTATTCTAGCGGCACATACAGCAGCAGCAGCAGCAGCAGCAGCAGCAGCAGCAGTAGCAGCAGTACCAGCAGTAGCTCTAGCTCTTCAAGTTCTTCCTCTTCTATCGGACTTCTTGGAGGACTGATCGGGGGAAGTAGCGTTTACTCACCTTTCCATTCCGTCTCGGGCAGAGTTGCTTCCAATTGCGGGTGCAGTGGAAAGAAATCGACTTCCGAATCTCTGGAGGTTCGCGATCTCCTGTCCTCTAACATCGACGGAAAAGTCGTGCCCAGGTATTTCATACCGCAGATTCCTTTATTTAATTCGATTATTCATTATATTTAATGTAATGTCACTCGCGTTTAATAATATTAATCGCGTCACATACGCGAACACTATGTTCGACACGCTACGTATCGATTTATGTCTGCGTGAAAATCGCACGTGTGATACGACATGCGTTCCGGAATTTTGAAATACTGATATTCAACCGATCGTTCGTCCTTCGACAGTTTCCAACCGATCGGTGATTTGTGCTACCCAACCCCGCGTAGCGGCAAACTCCAGGTGTCCACCAAAGTGACACCCGCGTACCCCGGCAAAATCAAGTGCGCCCCTCCCATCCCTTATGAGGTTTGCGTCAAAATACTCAATGGACAGATCGACGATGCAGGATTGCGAGAGCTTGGCTTAGCGACTGCATATGGCAATACCGGCGCTGTGTCTGGTCGGTATGGACTGTCGGGTGGATTAAGCAGCGGAAGTCTATCTGGTAGCACGAGTACTTTTGGTGGATATACTTCCGGCTCCAACAGTGCGGCTCGATATGGTACTTTCGGAGGATACAGGTCATACGCGGGTTCTAGCGCAGACTCGACCGGATACGGTGGCCTCACGGGATACGCGGGATCGTACGCGGGTGCTGGCGCGAGCAGTGTTGGACAGTTGGCCTCTAGAACGAGCGGCTTTGGTGGAATATACGGAAACGGTTTCGCAACTTCGAGCAACGTCGAGATGATTCAAGGATCGGGAGCAAGCCACAGATCCAATTGCGAATCTATTAACGATTTTGGCGACGATCCAGGTACGCGTGTCTCCATCTTCCTTCGTATCTCGCTCCGAGTATTGGTATCTCGCTTTTCCGCCACATTACATCCTTTTCCATCTTTCTCTATCGAGACATGAGACATAAAATGCTACTTAAAATAATGCTATTTAATCCAGCGGCAATCGTTACGACCCGAATTTTTCACATCGTATCTATGTTAACGATGCGATCGCACTCGCGTTCAGCTTAATTCGGATTTTGATACGGATATCGAGCCGATTGCAGATTATGGATTACGCGCGCGTATGATAAGTATGATAAGTAGAGTAGATTTGATTTTGAAGACTGCAAAATCAAAATTTGTTTATTCTTAATATTCGGAATTTCAGAGTTTCCGGAGGACTATTCGTATCCTCGTTTACCAGCGGATCCGGTCTCACTCACCTTGGCGTACAAAAATCTCTTCCCGCGCACCGTGTATTACAACAAACGAGCGTTCGTGCCGGAGGATAAACTAGCGTTCGGTCACAGAACCGTGCCGACTGAATCAACACCTAGCAAAACGGTGTCGAATGTACCCGAGGAAAAACTTCAGATTCTCGATAAACCCGTGGTGGAATTGAAGCCAGTGTCACCGGTTCCCATCACCGTCGGTGTTTATGACGAGCACGAGGAAGCCAAGTTGGCGGAGCTCGAGGCTATCGAGCGCGAGAGGATAAATCAAGAGGAGATTGCCGAGCAACAGCAAGAAAGCTTTATCACATATGGGTAAATTCAAAGACATTTGGCGTAAGAGTAATCGGCATCTTCTTCGAGGTTCTCGATTATACACGTGCTCGAGACTATTGGGCTTCATCCATGTGTTATCTCGTCGTAATTTAAAATTACTCTTTTACTCGCGCAACACAGCAAGATATCGCGTATCTTCGATGACCTTAATAAAATATTCGTAATAGTATAAAAAAAAAATTCTCGGGTGATGCTTTTTCGAAACTACATTTGTATATTACAAAGAAATGAGATGAAACTTACAACTGAAACTTAAACTTACAATTAAACTCAAAATTCAAACGTTTATCATTTAAAGAAATGTTTCATATCGCTAACTAGAGTGGCCGAGTATTATAATTATTTACAGTATTATATTTATTTATATATAATTATTTAGTCTAAGATATTGAGCAAGATATTGATTGCTTGCAAGATATTTATGTGTCTGGATGAATAATTGGTTTTAGAGACTTAGGATATGCGCCAATAAATGCAGCACTGCCAGGAAGATCGGGAAGGCCTTTATCGGCGGGTCCCATTGGCGTGTTGAACGCGGAAGACGATACCGGAGCGGAATGCGGTCCGATGGGACCACCAGTCCCCGATTACGTTCCTGGCAGCGTCGTGATCGATCGAGAACTCGTGGAAAACGAAGGGGGAGCCGTCGGAGAGGATGACGCCGAGAGTTCCAAATTGTACATCCGTCACTACGCGGACGATGAAATTAGTGACGAGGAGGACGATAGCGACGATTCAACTTCTGGGATATTCGCCAGGTTGAAAAGCGCCGCCCGGAAGTATGGTCCCCCGTGTGGTGCCGCCGTGTGATCCTTTGCGAGATGCGTGGAAAGGATTCGTTGACGACCATTTTCGACTATCGAGAGATTAATCTTGATTGTTTGGCAAACAAGACATTCTGGACAAGACTTCCTCGAATATTACACTATTATTACGCTAGTCCTAGTCTCGAGGAGATTCTAGTCTTGTGTCTTTGTGATGTTGTTGTTATTATTATTATTATTATTATTATTATTATTATTATTATTAAGATAATAAAGCACTCGTGCGACAGTCAAATCGTTGATTTTATTATATGATTCCCGATCACACATTCCTAAGTTGTTTCTTTTCTGATTCGCGAGATTTCATTTTTTACAAACAATTATCAATTTGAAAAATTGATTTCACAGACCGTTTGCCGTTTGAGCTTCTAACATATTTGAGCTTCGATTTAATTGTCGTTCAATTTTTTATTATTTTTAACGCTATTTTATTATATTATTATTAATATTAATACACAAGACTAAATATGTATTTGTAAGAACAATTTTTTACTTATAATAACAAACGATGTTTACAGTGTAATATCTTTATCTTTGCGATAATAAAGATTCATCCAAGCGATTTGTCAAGGATCAAATGATACCGTGTGTCTATAGTCTACGCACTATATGCACGCACAAGATTTATGATCTTCCTTCAACTTTCCCGACCAAAACACGACCGTCAGCACGTCATAAAGTGTTCCAGCCGAGAAAAAGGAAGCAACACATGGTGATGCACGATGATCGCCGCAAAGGAAACATAATGTATCTCGGAAAGAGAGAGAACAAACCTCTCTCGCGTAGGGATGCTATTTAAAGATGCTCTACGAGCGCTTCTCGAAGCGCTTCTCTTCGAGGGAAGTCGTCTCGTCGAGACGTCTTCCCTTTTTCTTTTCTTTCTTTCGCGAGCACGTGAAATTTACGATATGCGTATGCATTAGATTGATTTATTTCATTTACATACGTATGGTATAAATTATAATACAAGCGGCCAGGCGAACTGCGAAACTACGACTGCGAGTGAATGAGATATTAATGAGATATTAATTTATTACGTGAGTGACGAAACGGACATATATGTATCGCTTAAAGTGATATTGTAAATTGATATTATATATCGACATCTGATAGGTATATTAAATATAGTACAAGGATTTCTGTTTCCTGTTTATTATTAGCTTTAAATATTCCTCTTTCTGTTTATATATAAAAGTATGTTTGAGAGAAAAAGAGAAAGGAGGGAAAAGACATATTCTTACAAGATACGTTCACAAGAACGTTCTTTCTTTTGAAATTTCAGTGCTGACTTCAGTGCTGATTTCACTGCTTTTTTATAAACATTCCTCGGCATCTATATTTTTGTATACGTATAACTATAGAGATTGTATAACTATAGAGAATTCTAAGAGAATTGCAAGATTTACAATTTTGGACACAAACGTACAAAAATTTAAATTCACAAAAATCGACATATTAGAGAAACATTATGAGGTGAGGGGAAATTACATTATTTAAAATTTCAAGAATTTTTCAGGATTTACAAAAAAAAAACAATTTCAAAAATTCAAAATTTCAAATTGCGGAAATCAAGAAGGGACAAAGTGGAAAATGTAATCAGAGAAAAAGGAAGGAGAAAATGAGAGAAGATTATGCTATTTAAAGCTCCAACACTTTTCTATAAATTCAACTTAATGCAAATAAATGCAATTTTAATGTGATTTCAAATATTTCTTAGTTTGAAAGTTTGAGTCACAAAGATCTAAGTTTTTGAAAATCGACAATTGAAATGTAATCATGAGTAAGAAAAAAGAAAATTATAATCCTAAGTGTTCTTATTCTAAAAACTAGAACATTATTTCTTTCTTTCTTACTTGTGTTATGTGCAAAATTATAATTACACACAATATTATAATTTTTAACATATTATGATGGATGATAGTAAATTTTTAACAAAAAGTTATGCATAATGTTGCGTAAGTAAGTTCATTCTTTGCTTGTTTTTTCCTTTTATTCTTTTTCTTTGTCCTTGTCCTTTTTTTCTTTTATTATATAGTTCTGCAAGATTTTGTCTTAACTGTGAGTAAT